GTAATGCTGATCGAGCATCGAAGTAATACACCGCAAACAAACCAGCTGAGAGCACGAAGACGGTGCGGTAGGCTCCCGTTAGAACAGGAGAACGAGGCGTAGATTTGCTGGAAGTAGAAATGGTTCTGGATGCATGCTGCTGTGGAAAACTGAAAAGCTTTCTTGAGGCCAGACGAAGTGAGGCCATTTGCCGAGTCCCAGTTACTGGAATTCTCATTCGGAATGTACCGCGCCGCCAACTGCGTTGTGTTGATGCTTGTTAGGATCCCAAGCCTTTGCCTTAATTGGGCCCAGACGAATTCTAACTTCAATTGCAAGATGTCAGTGAAAACAACACCCCAAACTACACTGTGGAATTGTAGAGCTGCCCTTATAAACATATTCATTCTACACTTATCGAAGAACGCGGTCTTTGCGACATGTACCTCATCACAACACGTTCTTATTCTCATCATTAATCGTATGGCATATCCATATGCATATCTCTATTATAAAATGGCAGTATACTGTGGCTAAAATTAGGCTGACAGCATTCGATCGAGGTAAGTACTTGCAGGAATCATGTGTCGCTTTATGAGCTATACGTGGCGATCGCGAGCCCGAGTTGCAGTTATTTGAACATATGGAACGTAAAATGTAAGTATACGGACGACTCGGATGAAACCTGGGGATATCTTGTCTTTGTTGGACGAATCAACTGGCACTCAGAAAGGAAATAAAAATAAAAATCTGACGAGAGTGGGATTCGAACCCACGCCCTTTCGGACCAGATATCAGTCACCATCTAATGGTGTGGTCCTTAGTCTGGCGCCTTAGACCGCTCGGCCATCTCGCCATGTTAACCGGTTTATTTTGAACAAGTAGAATCAAAATGTGTGAGGGTGGCGTCGGATATAGCGTATAACATTTTGCCACCTCGCACAAACCACGATGGCACACCCCTGTAGACTTGGTGGTTTATTTACCATGCATCACACGTCACCAGAACAGACTTTCAGTTTAAGTGCATTCTGATACGATTTTACATTACAAATAAAATTACATGTCAATGGTATACAACAAGCACAGTGATTATAAGCGAATTGTGGGGTCAGGCGAATGCCTGACTCTCACCCCGGCGAGTTTCCTCGGTTCTTGTCGAGGATTATGTAGGGTTGAGATGGTGTGGAGCGGCGGGAAGTAGGGTCATTCGAGGTGCACTCGGATCAGCAGCCGAGTATCGACCAACGACTTTGCGCGGGCAGTAGGTGTACGAAGAACAGCCAAAGCTGATCAGGGGCCCATGAGCAAAATGTAATCAGCCAGCAGTAATAACGTACGTTGTACATCCGGTACGACATCTCATCATCCTTGACACTCCTTAGATTGTAATATCGCCAGCCGACATACGCTCCGAGCGCGACGAATAGGGAGCCGCTGAGCGTACCCAGGTCCCAAAGAGCGGCGAGAAACACCGACCACAGCACCAGTGCGACCAGTGTAACCAGTCGAGATGCCTCAGGCGCGTAGATGGGGAAAGTGACGCGCCCGATGGAGGCGTCACCCGCGACATCGGCAAAGTCCTGTGATTGAATGGTGGTAAAGATGATTATTGCCGAGCAGAAGATGGCAGACAGGGCGGTGGCGTCAAGAGCCGACTGCGCACCTGGCGGAGTCATACAGGTCAATATCCACATGAATCGGAATTGACAGTGCACCTACCCATGATCTTCGTGGCCCCGATTTCGAACGTCACATAACCCGAAATATTGCACGCGTTCTTTCCTATCCAATGACCCGCAAGCGAGCACCCGTCGTAAACCACAGTCGTCACCGTAAGTGCAATGCTAGTGAGCACGACGTCTCGGCCGTACATCACACTCAGGGCAATGCACAGAGGTGGCAGCGCCCAGCGCATGATGTACATGTGCCGCGCACCAATCATGCCCGAGGGCAGAGCCCTCCATGGGCGGTTGATTGCATCCTCCTCTACGCTCTGGAATTGATTCGAAACGTTGCACTGGAGCTGATGTAACCAAATCCACACCAGACCTTGCAAGAAATTCGACCACGAATGTACAGGGGCTGCCACACACGCGAAGACGGTCTGTAAAAATCAGGGAGGGGCAGTTAGTTGCATAGTATACAACGTGGATTGGAGCATGGTCACTCACTATGGGCAGAAATATCGTCTTGTAATCACTGGCTCCCAGTAAGTAGAGTGTCAGGGCCGAGTGTCGTATTGCTGCAAAGCAACGCTTCATGGATTGTGGTGGAAACTGGTTGGTCGCTCGGGGCATGTGAGTGATCGAGAGGAAGAAATTGTGGAAGATAGTGGAATCGATTCGAGATATCGATTCGAGTGAAATACATGATACAAGGATTTGCAGGAAGTAAGCAGCCGACCAATCGGCGCGGTCGGGCGATCATGCGGAGAGGGGCGTGTGGCTGTGTGTCCGCCAACTGATGCGGCTGTACTCCATCGACAGTGTCTGATTCTGCCTGTTTCAGGACGAATATTGTCATCACAACCCGTCTGCCAGCCGGTCCAGCCCACTCTTGAAGTAGTTGACAGGCACCATACACACATGGTTGTAGTGTACTCGACTGAACCCATTGGTTGCGGTGACATTGATTGGCCCTACAAGACGGTGGAAAGCGTGCATGTGAAACATCATGAAGGATCATCGGAATCCGTGTAATCAGATCTATATCAATTCTAGCACGAGCAAGATCCAGGAACATCCAAATGTGAATATGCGGACTCGGTGTAGCATAGATGGCGCAGTGTGTGGGTGATATACTTGAGCTATTTTTGCTCACAACAAGCGTGAACGTTTGCCCGACGAGAGCAAACCAAAGAAGCATAGGCGTGCAAACACCAGATCGCCGAGGATGCCGATTCTCCAACTTCAAGAACTTCAAGAAGTGCAAACGTGGGATTTTGAAGTGGTGATCCGGTGTTCGCCCAGGTTCCTGATTTGCATGTCAGTTTAGAAGAAAGCGCTTATCTCTAGTGATCTCTCTCGCTTTTGCATTCTGGCACAACTTCCTGTAGTCTTGATTGCGCAATCACTCTAACAGGCGGAACCACCCAGGGACGGCCCTCCACATCCTATCTCTCTCCTTGCCAGCCCATGTCTCCAAGCTCCTCGCACATGCTTTACACTCGCTTCCACTGAACTCCGCACCCTTGAGCTGTCCCAGCTCCTCCGCGACGTACAACGGATCGCCGTGCCCACGCTCACGGTCGAACAGGTAGTGTTGGGTCGCGAGGTCCATCAGCTCGGCAAAGTCCTTGCGGCACGCCGCAGCAGACGAGCAGTACTTCGCCGTGCGCACGTGTGCGAGCGAGGGTTGATGCGAGTGGTGCGAAGAGGAAGGCTGATGCGAGGTAGGCTGGCTGGAGCCCATAGCGCGGATCATAGAGGTGATTGCGTGTTGGGAGGCCTCCTTTCCGAGGCAGAGACGTTGCATATCGGCGGGGCTGAGGGTCTGCGGGGAGAATTCTTCAAATATCTGCGCATAGGAGTAACGTGAGAGGTCGTAGAATGCGGAGGGGAGAAGCGATGGCGCATTAATCTCTCTTGCCAGATTAATGATGGCCTATGATATTTGTGAATCAGGGGACATCGCAGATGCATGCAGATAGAGCTCACAACTGGTGAAGGGAATACATGTCCTACAGCACCTTCCTTCTCGTAATCCTCACGGGCGTCCCATGCCTTGAGGTCCGCAGGCCACGCCATACTCAGATGCGCCAGTGCCTTCGCGCGCAGAGCATCGCACAAGTACTTCGTCGATAGCCTCAGTATTCCAGAGACCACGCGAAAGTCGGTTTGGTCATTGTTACCAAAGTTTCTAAGTGATCGTTAATAAGTAATAGCTATTGAAAGTTGACGTGGTGGGCCCAATACTAAGGATATAGAAAGTTGAACACCTGAGTAGACGACTTACGGGCCGTCGTACAGCGCGGCAAGCAAATTGCTAACATCCTCTGCTGCATCGTGGAGATGCACAAGCGGGCATCCGTCTAGGAAATCGCTGTCTGTACCATCGCCGTCAGTCGAAGTGGACGACGACTGGGGCAGAGTGAATAAATCGCGGAAAAATGCCGAGTGACGCGAAAGCTGGCTGATGTGCACGCGATATATTGTGCTCTCCGCACGGAGTATAACGGAGCCATCTGTGAACCATAGATCGGTGTGCTTCGCCAAGTCTTCACAATCAGAGGAAACAACAGTGGATTCTGCCGCGGTTTGGAATGTGCAAATAGACGCCTTTTCGTTTAGTGATGAAGAGGACCCGGAAGCGCGCGCAGCGGCAAGAGATCTCAGGCTGGTGCCCGCTGAGGACTCGAGCATAGGGTGTCGATCTTCTATGAAGATGAGAGGATGAAGTGTCAAAGCCTAGCCTTACTAAAGGATCCAGGTCTTGGCGTAATAACTTCTCGACACTCTGACACTGACAGTGACAGCCCTAGAGTAAGTTGTATGCACAGCCACACGTTTTGGAGGGCTCAAACGTTCAAGGTTGCTTGCACACTCAACACACAAATCACGCTGCGTGACGAACAACAATCTGAACAACTTTATTTGAGATAATATCTGTATCTATGCGTCCACCAAAGTCCAACTTAATGTGTTTCTAGAGATGAAACAAAATCATAACAATAATAGTAGCGAATCGAGAACCAGCAAGTGCACGGCCTCCTACGCGGATGCTGCATCATAGAATTCACTCGGCGATGTTGGAGATGGCACTTCTGTTTCACCAGAGCTTGACGCACCCGTGTTCACGTTGAACATTGCCTTCAACGTCATCTCGTCCCGCTTCTTGCGCACCCTCTCAGCCTCTTCAGCCCCACCGGTCATCTTCAGCTTCTTTCCACCTACGAATCCTGTAAGTTCCGCTTGAAACTCGTCCGACCGTGTGGCCAAGTCCTTCTCCCGGTTCTTTTGGTTGGCTGCGATCGCTTTCAGCCGCATCTCTGAATCGACAGAAGCGCCCCGGATCTCAAGCATCACCGTGCTCAGCCCATTATGCCCTTCTTCTGGCGGTGGCGGCCTGAACGCGCCCACTTTGCGTATCCGACCAGGCCCCGTGCCCCGAATCGAAATCACCTTCTCGACGTGCCCGTATACCTCCATGACCGCCTTATGGTCTTCAATCAGGTCTCCGAGGAACTCTTCTTGGTGGTTCAGGAACTGCTGCTCCTCAACAATGTTCTGTAGCTCCTCTTCCCACGTCTTCTTCCACATAGGCTTAATCGTCTTGATGTGCTCCTTTAGGCTGTCGAGCTCCGCTGCCGCCGTGTCGATGTCGGCCTTGATGGCGCGGAACAGGTGTGGTTTGGGCGTGATGTGCCGCTTGATTACATCTTCCTTGACGTTCTCGACAGTGTCTTGCAGCGCCTCGACCTTCGTAAGGATGTTCTGGCTCCGCGTGTCCAAATTTGTCTTGCCGCTGTCGATATACCCGCGTGCGCCACCAACGTTCGTGGTAGCGAGTTGTTTTACAGATTGCGTTTGTGTGCGCAGTGTGCCAAGCGACTCTTTCGTCTGCTTCATAAAATCGGTGTACAGCTGGCGCATGATGCCGAGGTCGCGGCGCAGGTTCTGCACTTCATCGAACTGGGTGCGCAAGTCTGCGACAACGCGCGACGAGTACTCCGATAGCACAGAGCCACCAGTCATTTGCGCCTGAAGAATCTGCCCCGTCGTCTGTGGCTGTATATGCTGTGCATGTGAACCGTCCCCAACTAGCCGGGATAGACGACGCGCGACAGTACGCAATTGGCCGTCTGACGGGCGGGCTGGTGATGACAGGGGCTCTGCAAAGCCTTGCGCAATGATA